CGGGCCGCCCCCCCGCCTCACCGGCGTCGGGCAGAACCTCCCCTCTCCCCGCCCCAACAGAGAAGCCCCGCGGTTGGAACAGGCCGCCGAGCTCCAGCAAAGTCGCTGTTTTGTCCATAGGGACAGTTGAAGACATCCCCTGTGACACCTAGTCCCCGTCTGAACCAATGAGCGTTCATGTCACAACGTCTCGGTTCCTGGGTATTGACTGCAAACAAAAAGGATTGGGAGGTAGGGGTGCGACTCAGTCCCCGCAGCCCCGTGCAAGTCCGCCGGTGCGAGGAGGCGGGCCGTGAGCAGAGGCTTGGGAGTAGGGGGGCTTTTCCATCCACCGGGGCCTGAGCGCCTCCTGCAGGATTCCCGTCTCCGGTGACGTGGGGGAAGGGAGTTTGGGCTAGAGGGCCTACTGGCCGAGTTTCTTTGGGTCCCACAAGGCAAAGAGAAGTTTTTTGAATAATTATGAAAAGGAGTAATATGCAGGTGTGAACTGAAAGCTGCCCTGAGGCGGCGAGCAGCTGGAGCGCAGGAGCGAGTGCCTCCCACACAGAGGGCGTGTCCACTTCGTCCATCTCGGGTGAGTGGGCCGCCTGGTGAAGCTGACGGCCTAAGCGGGGGGCCTGGCCGAGGGGCCGCACCCGCCAGCGTTGTTGAGATGCCTTTGCTGGACATGAGTCAAGATCATGCTGGGTTGTGTTGTCTTCAAAGTACAGCACTAAGGCTTCCTTTGCTTCAGGTAACCCCATTTTTTAGTTGTTGTTTTTTAATTGTGAAAATATGTAGAAAACATAAATTTACCATTTTAACCATTAATAAGTGTACAGTTCAGTGGCATTAGGTGCATTCACATTGTTGTGTAACCATCACCTCCAGAACTTTTTTTATCATCTGCAACTAAAACTCTGACCAAGATGCCTGAGACAACCAAGAAATGGACACAATATGTGAACCGGCAGGTTTTTTTGTTGTTGTTGTTTTTTTTATTTTTTACAGAGAGGAAGGGAGAGGGATAAAGAGTTAGAAACATCAATGAGAGAGAAACATCGATCAGCTGCCTCCTGCTGACCTACTGGGGATGTGCCCGCAACCAAGGTACATGCTCTTGACCGGAATCGAACCCGGGACCCTTGAGTCCGCAGGCTGACGCTCCATCCACTGAGCCAAACCGGTTAGGGCTGAACCAACAGTTTTTAGGGTGCTGGGTGTTATGCAATAGCTCAATGACTCCCGAGAGTGTGCCCGCAACCAAGGTACATGCTCTTGACCGGAATCGAACCCGGGACCCTTGAGTCCGCAGGCTGACGCTCCATCCACTGAGCCAAACCGGTTAGGGCTGAACCAACAGTTTTTAGGGTGCTGGGTGTTATGCAATAGCTCAATGACTCCCGAGAGGTCAGAAGCCAGTGGGCCGAACCTAACAATCACCTCTTCCTACTGCTGTCACAGTTTCCAGGCCACAATGCAGAGGGGAGTCCAAGCAGGGCCTGGAGTTGAGGAAATAAAACTGAGGATGCAGGGAGACCAAGGCAGCTAGCAGTCCCAAATCAGGCTGGTCCTGAGGAAGGTTTCAGAGATCTGCAGGTTCCCATGAGTAGAGGTAACACTGGCCACAGTTGCACCAGGTAGGGATCAGTACCTGACCCACCAGCGGACTGGGAGCCTTGTGTCCAGTACAGAGAAGATCTTGCTTCAACCATGGGGAGTAACTAGCTTCTGACCCCAGCTAACAAATCAAACAAAGCTTTGGAGAGATCAAACTGTTCCTAGTAACTGTGTCCTAGAACAAAGCTAAACAATCCTATATAATAAAAGGTTAATATGCAAATCGACTGGACGGCAGAGCTATGGGCCGCTATGATGCACACTGACCACCAGGGGGCAGACGCTCATCGCAGGAGCTGCCCCCTGTGGTCAGTGTGCTCCCACAAGGGGAGCGCAACTCGGCCGAAACCAGGCTCACGGCTGACAAGCACAGCGGAGCACTACGGATATCTGATTAAGCTGACAGACATCCCCCAAGGGCTCCGGGACTGCAAGAGGGCGCAGGACTCCCCCATCCCCCTCAGTGCATGAATTTCATGCACTGGGGCTCTAGTATTTAATATAAGAATACAAAATTTTCAGCACTCAACAAGGTAAAATTCAGTGTCTGCCATCCAATCTAAAATTGTCGAGCATACAAAGAAGGAGGAAATACAACTAATAATGAGGAGAAAAATCAATCCGTTGAAAGTAACCCAGAGCCCTAGCTGGTTTGGCTCAGTAGATAGAGTGTTGGCCTGCGGACTAAAGGGTCCCGAGTTCAATTCCGGTCAAGGGCACATGCCCGGGATGTGGGCTTGATCCCCAGTAAGGGGTATATAGGAGGCAGCTGATCAATGATTCTCTCTCATCATTGATGTTTCTTTCTCTCCCTCTCTTTTCCTCTCTGAAATCAATAAAAATATATTTTTTTAAAAAGAAAGTGACCCAGAGCTGACATAGATCTTAACATTAGTAGACATAGACATTAAACCTATACAGCATGTTACCATACTGAATGCTCTAGGCAACCGTAACACAATGGTAAATATTTATGTGCCTAAACATAGAAGAGGCACAGTAAAAATATGGCATAAAAGATAAAAATGGTGCACCTGTACCGGGCACTTGCCAGGAATGGAGTTTGCAGGGCTAGACGTTGCTCTGGATGAGCCAGGGGTGAGTGGGGGTGATATGAGGCCTGCATCCCCCTGGGCACTTTATAAATGCTGTGCACTTAGGCTACAGTCAACATATTTTTTTAATTCTTAAGTTGTAAAGTAACCTTAGCTTTCACTTTTTTACTTCAGAAACTCTTTAACTCTTTTATAATAACACTTAGCTTAAAACAAACACATTATATAGCTGTACAAAAATATTCTTTACATTATTCTATTTTAAAAATTTTAATTTATTTCTTCATTTTAAACTTTTTTTGGTAAAAACTAATATACAAACACTCACATTAGCCGAGGCCTGCACAGGGTCAGGATCATCACTATCATCGTCCCCCACTCCACGTCCTGTCCCCTCTGGGGTCTTTGAGGCAACACGCGTGTGAGCTGTCCTCTCCTGTGACCACACGCCTTCTGCTGGAGCACCTCCGGGCTCTTCCTGAGGTCACTCTTCAGAAATCTGTCCATGGTGGTTGGCTTGGTTTCTTTTTTCCATCATAGACTTGCTTGTAGGCACAGGAGCACTCCTCCCTGTGAATGAAAACTTTCAGTTTGGGCCCATGTGTTAAGGAGCTGGTTGAGGTCTGCAAACGCTCTGCGAAGCCCTTCGCTGAGTTTTCTTGGTGATTCCTCTTTTTCTTCTCCTGCAGTTTCCTTTTCTCTTGCCTCTTCTTCAGCTCTGCCTGCTCTTCCAGGTCCATCAGCTCCTCAATCGTCAGTCCCCGGAACTCCTCGTGCCACCCTCCTCCACCCAGCTTGGAGGTGCTGGCCATCTCAACCACAGGCTGGTGGTTTTTGCGACCTCCTCATCCTTGGCAAATCCTTTGAAGTCACAGGCTGCGACAGCACTAGGTGACAGGGAGTTTCAGTTCCATTTTAATCTATGGGACCACGCTGCACATGTGGTCCGTCATTGAACGGAACATAACGATGTGGTGCATGACCATAAGCCAGCAATGAACAATTGGAATTTGACGTTAAAAACACAATAGCTTTTACATTAGCATCAAAAAAGGAAATACTTAGGCATAAGTCTAACAAAGTACAAGATCTGTATAAGAAAAACTACAAAATCCTGATGAAAGAAATCAAAGATCTAAATAAATGCACAGATATTCCATGTCCACGAATAAGAAGACTCAATGT